GTCCATGACTGTACCGACCAATCGGGACATTTAAACCCTGGATATCAGCTTCAACTGAGAAACGGGCTTGTTATGGGCAGCGGTGGGACTTATGTGGGGTGTCTGTGTGGATGTGAATCCACAGTGAGCCTTACATTTCTGTCTCTCAGCAACAGGCCCCCTGCAGCATGCCGAAAGCCCACAAGAGATCTCTTTAAAGTCGATGTGATTGTCCCGATTTTCATCAAAGGCGTGAAACAAGCCTAAAAAACAAGATCAACAACACATAAGATTAGGAGCGCTTAAAGCAGATCGTGTTCTCTGCTGAGGTCGTGATTCAAAGCTAAGTGAGAACTTTGGTCTCATTTCTTCATCATTATTGCAAAGCTATGCAGATATGAAACTGAGTAAGTATCGTCTTACCTTCACTCAGTGACGCATGAATAGGAGGAGAGACGAGAGGAATGAAGGTTTCCAAGTCAAAGCGGCCGGTTCTGGACTGAGCTTTCAGCAACCAGTAGCGCTTCTCCAAGTCTATAATGTCCGACTCCTCCACTGCAGCACACAGAGACAGGAGGTCAGAGATTTGTCACTGAAGGATCGGACTGCAGGCGAATGTTGCACAGTGACATTTGATTGAGCAGTTTCTCCACACTTTCCAAGAATTAGAAACAGCAAATCAGAAAGTTTTTATGAGACAGGTTTAAAGCCTGTTTGGACTTTCTAAAGTCAACACATTCAACCCAGAGACGCCAACAAGAAGAAGATAGCACATATACATAAAGTGAAAATGAGACAAATGCAGAAGAACAAAATAAAACAAAAACTATATTTCTTCGTGAGACTGGCTCCAGGACGTCCACATGACCGGTGTGCTAACACGACCGGCTGGGGTCCATCCACCTTTTCTGTGGTGTTTCTGCATCACTAAATGGAAGCACGGGGCAGATGATGCTGCTGTGGTACAGAACAGCCAAGGACACGAGAGCCAAACTGTCGTGTCCTGTTAGTCTGTTGCTGAGAACTCAAACAGGTGTGTTAGTCTGCATGCCAAACAAGCTAGCTAGTATCAGCTGACAACTTCACTCCACCCCCTTTTGCTCAAGGTCGCTTCAAAACGTCATGCTGGAAGCTGACGGAGCGGTCTGTGTTTTTATTCCAAACAATATCATCCTGGTTACAGTAACAAACACGGTTACTGTCTACGACACTGAGCCACAGAGCCAAAACGAATACTGGAAGACTAGAAAATGATTATCGTTGTTATGTGTGATTTAAAATGGAACAACACAAAGAAACAGTTGAAATACCGCAGATCTGAATTTGACCTGATTTCTGTAAATGACCAATCCAGCACCGTTGATTTGAGATACAATAGAAAGATAAAAGCTGTATTTTAGATCGTGCAGATGAAAGCTGTTTGCAAACATGCACTGCAGACCTGACGTCTCTTTACATGTGAGGCGCATGAGCATGTCTAATGCAGGCAGATCAGGTGTTAACGCAGCCCAGCGTACGTTAATCGTTATCTTTTTCTTTACAGGTTATTAAGCTTAATCGCATATTTTTACTTAAGATGTGTCGGCTAAAACTTTTAAACTTCAAACCTTCTTCTTGCATCTTCATTACTGATGCACATTTTCCTCACATCATGCAGCTCTAACTGAATTTTATTACTGTACAAACCGTGCAAATGGAGAAAAACAACACTGTGCACTGAATCATAAATATGGTGCTTGAGGGCAAA